GATTTCATATTTGCAGAGATGCTGATGAGTGGCAAGTAGAGGGCGCTAAAAAGGTGTGACAGAAACTAGAATAATCATACTATTGCCTTGTAACCTGTCAATATTGTTGTTAGTGAGGTCAAGAGTGTTACCATATGATATTACGGTGCAGACAAACACAGTAATGTCAAAATGACAGGTTAAAGATGACCATCACATTCCTGACATGAACCAAAGAGAACAGACACATTGCGGTATGGTATCACATCATGGATGATGTGGTGTGCTAAACCTTGACTGATATCTAGATGAGCAGCTATATCATTGACATTCAATAGGTTATTTTCTGTAAGAAGCATTCAATAAACTCTGAGGTCACTACTTGGTTTGCCTGACCTGGTCCTGAACAGTCTGCCACAGCAGTTACGCCATTCTGGAATTTCCAATTTCACTCATACACTTGCTGGACTGACATGCTTGCATCACCATCTATTTATTCTCTTCATGTCACTGTTGACACACAAGGCATTCACAAGTGATCTCCACTGCTGCTTTTCTGCCCATGGTATCCCATGTCAGTTTACATTCCTTCATTTCCCGTCCTATTGTCCTTTTCCAGGTTTCTTTAGGTCGTCCACGTCTTCTTTTCCCATCTGCTGTCCATCGGAGAGCTTTTTTTGCCAGTGTCACAAGGCATTCTGCTAAAATGTCCAAGCCATCATCGTACTAAACATTCATTAGCCGATGAATTTCTAAAGGTTTCAACCTTTCATCACTTTTTTAAAAAAAACGGATAACAGAAAACTGCTCCTATTTGATTGTAAGATATAACTTAAAATGACTACAAATTACATGATTAATCTTCTTCTTCTCCTGCATTCACCTGTAACACAGTAATTCAGCTAGGCTGTGATATCTGCAACTTTCAGCCCAACACATCCATTTAAGCAGATCTTTAATTAAATGTCTGTTATGAGATGCACATTAAGGAGCAGTGCATCTATTCCGCCCCCCCCCCCTTTTTTTTTCCCCCAAATGAGGTCATTGAACCCACACAGGGAACATAATTTATGTTATTATGTCTATGGCACAAACAAATATCTACAATTCAGAACTACAGGAAAACAAGGATTTGAAATATGCAGTGACTAATAACTATAAATAAATTAGTGAAAAATGTCACGAATGATGACGGAACGTAAACATATTTATAAAAGTATTTTAGCTGGTTTAGTTTCTTTGATTTGCAGCAAGTATATGATGTTTCTGAGACTAAGTAAAGGGTGACATTTTTCTTTCATGTCATGAGGAGACAACTGGGGACAATGTCATGGTGGTGAGGTGGTTGAAGGGAAATACAGTGACAGGGAAACCGAGAGAGAAAATGCAGGAGAGTTTGGCATTTTGACATGGAAGATCAACTGTAGCAGAAGTAACTAAAAGTACACAAGACAGATGTCTGTGGATAGATGTGACTACCAACATCACACGACATGGACTATGGAAGATCACTGGTGTCAGAACTGACTGAAGGTATACAAGACAGAAAAGTTGTGGTTAGAATGACTACCAACGCCACAAGGCATGGACTATGGAAGATCTTCTGTGTCAGAAATGATTCAAAGTACATGAGACAGAACGTTATAGATAAACATGACTACCAGAACCCTCAAGGTGGACTAAAAGAAGAAGAGTAGAGGCTGGCTACAGTGATTATGTGCATCCATTGACGGCTTTGGATATATTATGCAATGAGACTGCATTCTTTTCCAGGATGTGGCTCTCATACAACTGTCTAGAATAAACAAGAACTGTCTAATACTATATTAACCTTTCCCCCTACTCCCCCAAGACTACAACTAGTCACTTTAGGTTGTGACTCAGTGCCATTAATGTCTTTATATCAGTCTCGAGTGACCTGTTCTTGAAAAGCGTACATAAATTCCTTTGGTTCTATCTGCGCCTGTGCAGTGTTTGGCAAAAGATTTCATATTTCGTGAAGAGAAACCAGAGCAGCACAGTCTTTAATAGGCCAAGATGTTAATACAGTCATTTAAAAAAGCAGGGGGCTATTTTAAAGCCCAGTTGACACTGAATGTTCCCTTAACTCTTTAAGGCCCATGAATTTTGACAGACTTGGCCCAAATTAAATTCCCTTTACAAAAATGGCAGAGGGGTGGGTGCACAAGAAAGGCTGTAGAGATTGTAATATACTTCTAATCCCTATACAAGTATATATTTTTTTAAAGAGCAATGAATGTACATTTTGAATCCGATGATAAGTGTTAATTTAATTTTGTTATAGTTAGTGTGAAAGAAGAATTCAGCAGGTGTTAATTTCACAAGGACAACATTTAACAAAACAATTCTTCACTTACCATGGTTTTGCAGCCACAAGAGTAGTAAATATCCAAATTCGAGAACAAAACTTCAAAGTTTGTTCAATTGCCTAACATATTCCAAAGTTATAATAACTTTCTGGGTAAGTTTAGCACTCAGGAGCTCTTATTTCTCACAGAGTGCTGAGCAAAATTTCAGATGATATACCCTATACATATTCTTTTTTAGGCCCTGGGGAATGTATTTCCTTTAATGCTTCATTCTGTTTGTGTTAACCGACTGCCCCTTTATACATCTTCATATATATTCGGGTGCAAAAAAAAAAAAGGGGGGGGGGGGGGGCAATTAAAACATTCAGATAAACAGATGTTTAAAAATAATCATTAGTGACCTCAGTAATTTGGTTAAACTGTTGTAAAGGATTCATATCTGGGAATTCCCAAGAGTTCACAACAAGCATTCACTGGGCTAAAGGGTAAATGATGGTATATTAATGTCAAGAGGCACTGCTGCAACATGTTGTGTAGACAGGGTAGGGACATTTTACAACCTAATATGACCTAACTTGCCACAAGTATGTAGATATCAATGAATATGTGTTTTTACCGATGAAAGAACAAAAATCTACTTACATCACACACTTTTTCTTCTTTCCATTCACCAGCTGTAAACTCTGGCACAAAATTCCAGTTGTCAGTCCCCCTCCGGACTTTGGTCTTGTTCCAGAACTCAAGTGTGCGTGCACATCCGTTTTACAGATCTCATGTACTCCGACTTTGAAGGATGTCTCCAATTTTTTTACTCCTACGACATGCTGGTTGGGGAGGCAGTGGGTCTATTCTTGTTTTCCCCACAATGGGATCCCAGAACCCACCGGAGACAACTGGACAATCACTCTAATGTCCTTCTCAAGCCCTGGATGTTACACTGAATACAAAGTCATTGCCATGTCAAGAATAGTGGCATACATACATGTACACACACACATACACATGGTAAATGAGTAGTTAACAATGTCACATACATGACGTACAATTATTGTGGTGACAATGACTTTCTGTGCTGCCAAGAGAAATATTAAACACATAATCATCAATCACAAACAGAGAGAAAGTGAGTGAAAGAGAGAGAGAGAAAGAGAGAGAGAGAGAATGAGAGAATAAGAGTCAATATGTTGTTGGTCAATGTGCTGATAATAATGTTACACAAATGCCAGCCATTACTGTTGTGATAATGATTTACTGTCATGTCACAGGAAACGGTCAGCCCATACCCATCAAACTACACATATACATGGATGCTGTATTATTTTAAGAATGTTTCACACACATATCAATTTATCAAGCGCCTTCTCATCAATGAAGGCTGGCTGCAATCAATCTCCAACATGTTGTCTCTCGTTGTGAGTGTACACTCACTGAGACTGGTGTTTGTCTATCTCTTGATGTTACCTTCTCACTTGTATCACCGTCTACCTCTTACCAACTTTCTTGAAACTTTCCCTCCACTATACTTTTATAAGGGTTATATATTTTAATCTGGTCCAAATATACCGACTTACTGTTTATTTAGTGTTTTTTTTTTTTAAATTTAATCAGCAATTTTTGTTTACTATTTCTCTCAGAAACTCCTGTAATCTCAAGTCTCTTCACTCTTGTCTAGTATCCATTTCCTGTATTCACACATGTCTCAGAGCTTCAACTGGCCAGACAGACATTGGAATTTTCTTAGCGAATCTTCAGTTCAGTAATTTTTGTTTTCTAAATATAACATGATCTATCCAGGTCATGTGCTGATGAAGGCTTTCTAGCAGCATCATTTACTTGTCGCTTCTGATTGTGATAATGTGAAGCTAGCTAATTTCCCTTCCTTGTTTGGTCTGATACCTTTCCTGTCTCATTAGAACCTCTAAGGTGAGGACAGTCTTGCTTCGTGCAGAGTAGCATGTTTTGCTTCAGAGATCAAGAGTGAAGAGCATTGGCTGGATCTTCTCTCCGGGTATGCTGGTGTGTTGAGAAATGAACAAATGGACTGGCTCTGCACAACTTGGTGGAATACTGATACATGATAAGGCAGATGTGGTAAAGGCCTTATAGGAGCCCGTGTACAATTTAGAACAGCAAACAGATCATCACAGAGTGATACAGCAAAAAGTGACAAGGGGCCCTGGCCGATACTCTGCACTCAGAGGAAAGACAAGACAGACAGATAATCAGACTGCTTTTATTGGTATTATAAATCTGCATTGCCTAATGAGGAAGGGGATGAAGCTCTTATAAAATGCCCAAGTGTTGCGATGTTGATTCTTGAATCAAATCAATTCAGAACCTCTGTATTTCTTGTTTTAATTACCATGAAAAACCACCCATCCTTCTGTAAGTGTACATCGCCAGGGACTCTATTTAAGTTTCTAACTGATCGTTGAATGAAAGTTATATAATAACATAGGCATTATCATTATAATTTTAGGAGAAACAACACACATGCACACACATACACAGCCAATGTTTTATTAAGGATGTTAAATACATATCAAACATCAAATTCCCCATGAACTTTCAAGCTGCTCTCCCATTATGAGAGCTGCTAATGTGAACCATACTTGACCATTACCCAACAAACAACACAAGGAGGTAGCATCTCATTGTTTGACTATGGCTCAGTAGCATGGTTTGTGTGTTTCATTCATCATTCATGTAAGTATAGGACAGCCATGTGGCAGCTAGCGCCACAATGCCTCCCACAGCAGCACCTGAGGACACACAAAAACAAAATCAATACTTTCATGTTGAAGTGTTACACAGTTTTTTTTGTTTTTGTTTTGTTGCTTAGTCACAAGTAGAGCTGTACCGAATAGGAGATTTTCAGTATTCGGCCAAATACAAATAACAACATCAACTATTCAGCGGAATACGAATACAAATAGTGTAGTATTTAAAAAATCTAACAAACATTCCTAATGTCAAATGTACGCTGAACTTTTACTTCACAAAATGTAGTACAGAATAGTAAACATTTTAAGTTTTGCATCCTTCAGTCAGTCTGCAGTAACTAATAACTAGGAATGAAAGTATTATAAGTATTATAAGACGTAACTAAACTTGTAAATTGTCACTGACAGCTTACTTAATGCATGAAAGTGGCATTAGCTTTCAACAAAGCCAATCGTTCCATGTTGTCAGCATTAGGGCAGTGTATGCACAAGCGGGTGTAAGGTAACCACTATTCGTATTCGGCCCAGCCGCAAGTATTCGGCCGAATGCTGAACAGTTATTAGGTCCACTATTCGGAACCGAAGAGAATTTTCAGTACAGCTCTAGTCACAAGACAAAGAAAAGGGTGACTGGCTTTTTTCTTGTAGCCTACTTCTATGACTACATCTTTTACATCTGCGTTAAGGACTGAAAATTGTGGTATTTTATTTTTTTTTTAATTTATTATTATTATTTGAAAAACTGATAAGATTGTCATTTACTGACAAACACAGAATATTCACAATATGGTTTCCAGGTCTTTTCTTTTCCCTAGGAAAGAGGTGCCCGTATTCACCATAAAGTGCCTTCAAGAAAAGATAACGGTACTCACTACAACATGTCTATTACAGTAGTTCTGGGGAGAACAAGGGGGGAACTAAAAGTGTGCCAGTACTGCATACCGTTGTGTAATGCCAGAAGGAAGCCCTGAGTGTTTTCAATGACTAACACAGATTATAATGAAACTTTTACTGACCAACATAAGCTTTCAACATATTCTTCTTATCGGGCTGCGACGGCACTAGAGACTGATGGCTGCTCATGCAGGACAAAGAAGATTGGCGACTCCAAGTGTCATCATCAGCTGGAAACAGACAACAGACACAATGGTATATTATATTGATTCTAGCAATAAGCTTCTCATAGTTCATGCCACATTGTGTCTGTAGTCATGTCTATCCAATAAACTGTTGTGTCTGTAGTCATGTCTATCCAATAAACTGTTGTGTCTGTAGTCATGTCTATCCAACAAACTTCTGTCACGGGTATATTCAATCCATTCTGACACAGATGACCTTCCATGCCATGAGGACCAACTCTTCGGCATCTATTCTCTCAGTCTCTCTCTGCCTCTTTCCCCCTTCAACTTTCCCACTGTCACAATGTACTCATTGTCTCCTCATGATATTAGCAAAGAATGTAGATTGTCTCCTTCTGATGTGGACAATCAGTTCTAAGACAAGAAACAACATAACAGCTATAAACAGTTTGATCTAAACTAATTAATCAGAAACAATACAAAAGATACGAACTAAAAAGTTGACAAGAAATGAACTTAAAAGTTGACAAGAAATAACACAAAAGATATGAACTAAAGAGCTGATCAGAAACAATACAATAGATATGAACTAAACAGTTGACAGATCTGAACTAAACAGTTGACAAGAAACAACACAATAGATTTGAATTAAACAGTTGATTTGAAACAAAACAATAGATATGAACAAGCTGACAAGAAACAACACAACAGATATGAACTAAACAGTTGACAAGAAATAACACAACAGATATAAACTAAAAAGTTGATCAGAAACAACAACACAATAATTGGGAACGAAAAGCTGGCAAGAAACAAAACAGATCGGAACTTTAAAAAAAAAGCTGGCAAGAATCAAACATAAATTAACCTCACCTGCACTCTTTTCAGACTCCTCAAGCTCATCAACATCCACATCAAGCAACTCCTGGATCCTCTGCTTGACCTCCTCCTGCTTCTCATCTTGAAACACATAGTCACACACGTCCACACCGCAGTGAGGCAGCTGGCAGAACAGCCTGACGGGGGGATCGTAAATCTCGCTGCCTTGCTTCTCTTCGGTCACGTCAAACTCCTCACACAGCAGTTCGCAGCGAGACATCAGGCTTCTGATGATGTCCACCTTGATGGCCTGAAATAATTCCACAAGACACTTTTCTTTCACACCTTGAGGCATATAATGCTAGGCCTATTTTTATAGATCAAACTGACACAGAGTGGAGGATGAGGTCAACATCTCGCCAGCCGCCTTTACTTCTCAGGACTTTACCCAATACCCATTTAATGCTGGGTCAACCTGGGAGCCAAGGTGATGTTTAAAAAAAAAAGGGAACTTTTGATCTGCAGTAGAGCATATAGCCACTACACCCTCCCACCCCCCCCCCCCCCAAAAAAAAAGACGATTAAAAAAAACTGACCCTTTTTTGTGCCAGTAGCATATCAGGCATATGATGCCAGACTCATATTGTAACAGGCAGCCAGGTCGTTGTTGGGGTAATGCTTGCTGGTGGATGTAATGTCCTTTCCCCAGCTAATAGTAGGGTACTGCTGGGGTGACAGTTTATTAACCCTCACATAATGCTTCAGGTCCAAATGGACACTAAGCACTGCCAGTTTTGAGCTAAGGCAGAAATGTTTGCTACTGCCACACTGTGGCCATTGTTTTTTTGCTCCATTTATAGACCAGAAGTATATAGTTTCGTTGCCCAGCTTCTGAGTTGAGTGCATGGCGTGACACTGTGAGCTGCATTTGGAATGTTTTTCGACTGCGACCAACGTGGTGGTGGGATTTGTAGATTCAGAAAATGGCGCGATGCCGGTTGTCGCAATATTGGTGGGGCCATTATTTGATCAAAATTGATCTCGTGTGCAACTGCTGACCTTTTAGTGACTTCTTCTGCCATCAATGAGGAACTGCATTTCTAATGTCAGACTGTTTGTGTTAGCACTTCGGATGGCTACCATAAGCTTTTAATGCGTGGGTATGCTAGATTTGCTGAGACAGCAGTTTGTTAGTCATTCCACAAGGGACTGTTATAAACATTCTGTGTGTTTTTCGTTGGCACAGGAGCGGAACAACTATGGGGTAACCCGTTTGCTATGAAGCTGAAATTAAAATTACCAGATTACCAGACTCATATTTTAACAGGTCATCTGGCACTCACTGAGTTTTGTGATCAACACCATGCTGGCCACCTTTACTGTCCAGGACACTTCCTGGTACCCATTTTAGGCTGGGTGGACCTGGGAGCTTAAGCCAGTTTTTATTATGATAATAAGGGTAATCTTCTTCTGTACCTGTGTTTCCAAGGCTCATATGGAAAGCAAAGGAAGGTAGCACACATACTTAACATGCATTGTTATTAGAGACAGCTAAGAAAATGTGGTTTGAGATTGACAGCTCAATAATGTAGATAACTTTAGCTGTAAAATCAAACCATTATGAAAAAGTCTACAAAGGGCTTGTCATAAGCCAATCATGAAAAAGCTTATGCCGGCCGCTCCGTAGGCGAGCATCTAGCCGCTGGACCACGGCGGCCCCCACTAATTAGTTAATATTAAAATGTTTTTCTCTAGTTTCCCCTTTTAGTTTGTAAATGTGTATATACCTATATATGTGTTCTATTCTCGAGCTTATTCTTAGAATTTTTGTGGGGAGATGGTCGGGAACACACTGAAAGAAAACCGGGACTGTCAAGAGTGAAAACGGAACGTATCATTAGCCTGGGGTGGTGACGTCACGTCATCAAGCTGATGACGTCAGCATCATAGCCCTGTCTAGAAAAGCTGTTGCCGGGGTCTGTGCTCCATTAGGAGTTAAAACAAGGATGAGAAGTAGATAAAAAAGAGTAAGAAGGACTGTACTGTCTTCTTCAAATAATTGATTTCTACAGAGCCTGACATTGAGGGTTGTTTGATCTGGTCACAGAACACTTGTCTAGACTGTATGTGACACTTCTTTGTTCATATGAAAATATAGGCATTTGTTACTACTATGATGTAGTATATGTTCTACAGTTTGACGTGCTTATTTGTGTGTATCTCTATGTGGGCTCCCGGTCCTTGTGAGCCCACTGTTCCCTAACAAGCATGTTGTTAAACACAACTATTTAGGGGTTTGCTGAAATTGGATGTGCAGGACTGAAAGGTACAGATATCAAAGCCTGGCTGTAAACCACAACACCCTGTGCCAAATATCCTTTAAAAGTAAACACAGAAGAGAAGTCTTAATGTACCTACTGCTACAGAACTTATCATGTGGCTATCTGGTCTACTCTATCATGTTCTAAGATAGTAATGTTTCCAGGTCTGTCCAAAAATGTCAACACTAATCCTGCTATTCATGATAATTAAAGGTGATACGGTCTCTTACTTTCTTTTCATTTATCATGCACAGACAGACACTAGACAAAAGGGCACACCTCTACAGCCTCGGCTACTGTTGCCCGGGTAGACACATAGGCCCTCACAACAACCGTCCCCATCATGTTTATTGTGGCCTGGGATGTAGACACAACTGGATCCTTGTGAACATCAGAGTAGACCTGAAATCAGAGATGTTTCAATAAATCAATCAAAACATTGTCTCAATTACAAGTTTGAAACAAAATGTAAAAGCAATCTCATTGTACATACTACAATTGGGGGGGGGGGGGGTGTAATCATCATCATTATCAAGCAGTGCCTTGCCAACTGGCATGGGCGATCATGCCGCTCCCCAACCTGTGATCTTCAACAGCATGTATCAGTTTATGTGCCAACACCCCTCCATGCCATGTCAAAAGGCTGCCAAGAATTTTCTCATGTTGCCTTCCTTTTGTCTCTTGTTTCCACAGATCTCTCCAGTGGTCACAACGTGTTCCAGTTTCCCTCGTCTCATAATATGACCACAATATGACGACTGTCTGTTTCTGATAAGATGTCTTTGAGCCCTTAAAACTTTTAGAACATATTGGGGGGAGGGGGGTGCCTACATAAGGATTAACTTTATTGCACCAGGTCTGATTTCATGAGCTCATCTAGCTTTGTACTGTTGATGGCTGGCTACTTGTTGAGAGCATCATACAAAACACAAACTGCAACAATGCTCAAGGATCTTAAAAAAGAAAACAAAAATGCGATCAAGAAATGAATGAGTCTGACAATAAACCTATAATCTTAAGCTTTTCATCTCAAGAAGCTAGAAAACAAACTCTTCTGGGTGGTCCATTTCCCCACAAATGTCATTTTTCTGACCTGTTTCAACTTACCTGTTTGCGAGACACATAGTTAATGTCACTAGCTGTTTTTGCACCCGCACAAACTTTTAAGAGGTTAAGATACGAGTACATTACTAGCAAAATCATTTGAAGGTCTTTCCTTTGAGCCAAACAGTCTTTTCGAAAGCCGAATTGACCCCCATAAACTTTAGTGATAGAGGTCACATGGTCATGATATGAGTCGGTCACAGGGTCACCCGGTACATAACTACATGATGGAATTATGAAACTTTATCCCCATTACATTCACCATCTCACACATTTGTGATCCCTTCTAACAAATAAAGCAAGTAAAATGTAAAAGACCCTTTTCCTTGTCTTCAGGAACATTGGGCATATAGGGCTACTTATAATAAAATAATCATAATCAAATATCCAGTATTCCCATCAAGTCTGTGGTCTGTGATCTCATGGTCAAAAGAATTTAATACCCTAACCTGCCCAGATGGCAGTTTACACTTGACTGATGTAGCAGTCATAGGTGTCCTAATTTCAACTTTTCAAAAAGTTAAGCAAAGCCTCTCGGATTTGCCCATTAAATTGTCATCTAGACTGAGATTTTGTATTTTCAGGGTGTCAAACTTTCAGGTAGCAAGCAGGTTACACAGGACTAGGGTGATCATATAATCTTGAGCTGAAAACCAGACATGCCAATAATATTTTCAGCTGAAAATGGGATTCCACTAATATTATGAGCTGAAAAAGGGACATCCTAATATTTTGAGCTGAAAACCAGGCATCCCAATACTTTGAGCTGAAAAGGGAACATTTCAATATTTTGAGCTGACAAAGGGACATTCCAATATTCTGAGCTGAAAAGACATCCCAATATTTTGAGCTGACAAAGGAATATCCCAATATTTTGAGCTGAAAATAGGACTCACAGGCAAGTCAGATTAACACCCCATCTCCCCCCCCCCCCTACATCCTTCCACCCAATAAAAAATTATTCAAGAAACTATTCTTTTTATTTAGGAACTAATACACTGAAAGAAAAGGAGTGTATAAGGGAATATAGACTGTATACATTATAATAATTAATAAATAAAAAACATGTTACAAATGAAAACACCCATCAACACATTAAAGGTCTACTGATATCATTGTAAATGTATGCTCTATTCTGGAGCTTATTCGTCAATTTTTATAAATGGGACAACTGGCAGTTTTTTTTGGGTTTTTTTAGGCACCGATGTGACGCCTGGGGAAAACCTCTGCTGTTGTTGTTGTTATTAATCCAGCGGCGCATGAGCTTTCGCCCTTTGGCCCAATGCCATGTAGTGGAATTTGCATGTTTTCACAAGCTGTTCTTTTCCTCCGTACAAGGTGTTCCACTTGTCTGGTCTCGGAGAGAGTAGCGTTCTTCTTGTCTCACTGAGTTTTGGGCACTCAAAGAGATGGTTTCGTAGGGGTAGTTACATAGCTGACACTCTGGGGAGTGTTGTGGCTGTATTCTGTTTAGGTGTCCATTGAGTGGAGTATGTTGCGTTCTAAGTCTGAAGATGGTGGCCTGGTCCCTTCTTGTTAGATGGTTAATGCTGTCATTAGGATCAGGGCCAGACATATGTCTATAAACCTCTCTTCCAGTGTCTCCCATGGCCCATCTGTTCAACCAAGTCTCTTTGTTTATAGCTCTTATCAGTGTTTTTGGGGGTTGTCGCTGTAGGTGGTTGTTCTTGTGTTGCTCCTTTCTTTGGAAAACCTCTAAAATGGGATTGTCCCGTTGAAAACGGGATGTATGTCCCCCTACATAAGATTGCTGTAGCTGTTATGGGTGCCCTTATTATAACTTCTCTGGAGGCTGACCTGGGTATCTGGGATTTGCCCTCATAATCTGCCATTCAGATTAAGATTTTGTAATCTCAGGGTGTCAAACCTTAAGGCAGCTGCCCGAAGAGGGGGGGGGGGGGAGAGCCGAAGGAATGAAGTAAAAAAGTAAAGGACCCTTTTCCACGCCTTTAGGCGCATAGGGTATATAGGGCTAGACCTATATTTTTATAAACCAATCGGCACAAGATGGGTGATGTGGTCAGCCTCACGCCGGCCGCCTTTACTTCCCGGGACTGCACCTGGTACCCACTCAAGGCTGGGTCGACCTGGGAGCCAAGCTCATTTTTGAAAATAGTCTGGCTCTGCCAGGGAGCGAACCCACGAGAAGGAATGAAGAAATGAATTTTAAAAGTCAGAATTTCTACTACTTACAAATGGTAAAAAAATGCTGACGTCCTGAGACAAGCTGGTGTTTGAAGTTGGATTCCCTCCCTTGGTCGCTTTGCCTTTCTTTTCTACTTGCGATACGAGAGGGTCTGAAGGGTCACGAACTGTCCCTTCTATGGCCACTATACTTCTCTGTATAGAGCTACTGAAGTCTGCAAGACCATTCTGTGAATGAAAGGATATCTTATCAGCATGTATATGGTGTTTTTCAAGATAGCATATGATACATTACATATTATCATGCAGATGTGCTTACAGTCCGGGTGTGCTAACTTATCATCATGTGCCCTGCTAACTGGTGTAGGCGCTCATACATCTTCACAGATCATGATCCCTGGTTGCCCAGAACAGCTCTCTTGATGATTTCCCTTCATGCCATCATTTCAGCCCATCCAGCACCATCTCTCTTGGTCTGCCTCTACCCTTTTTCCCATTGATATTTCCAGTTGTCACCATGTTCTCCATTGTCTCTCTTCTCATTATGTGGCCAAAACACAGTGTTTGTCTCTTTCTTATTGTTGTATTTGGAAATCTACTTTCATTAGCTTCTTTCAAGCAATCGTTGTTAGTTACTCTCACCATCTAAGGTATTCGTAACATTGGTCTCAGAAACCAAATCTCGGTTGCTTCCAAATTCCTCCTACTTTGCTCACTGACATTCCAAGATTCGCTGCCATACAGAAGAACAGGTTCTATGTAACATTTAGCACCCTCTTTCTGACGTTAAATGTGAGTGACTGCTAACTCATACAATCACAGATATGGTTTGGGGTCTTGTCCCACCCCTTGTCATTCATCAAGCCACCCAGGTATTCATCTCTTTGTCTCCCACTCACTTATGCTCCTTACATGATAAAAGTATTTTAAACGCAGCATATATTTGCACTAATCAGTTTAAATTACTATAGTTTACTGTGTTTAATAGCCCTCCACTGGACACAGTAGAGGGAAAGAGGATAAAAGGCAAACCAAGAAAGACCTGGATAAAGAATCTGATTGACTGGACAGGCCTTAGGCAGGCAACCATAATGTCCATCACAGGAGGAGGGAGCTGATCAGACAGTCAACAACAACTTAATGGTGAGCTAATAACACGCAGTGTTATGGCACAGTGATGATGACGACTGTGTTTAGAAATGTAGGTGTCATTCAAGCACATTCCAGTGCTTGTATTTAATATTTAGCTGCTGCTGATATTGTTTACTTCTTCTTCTTCTTCTCTTCCACCTTGTACCTCATCCAAGTGTTAGGGGGAGATGTAATGTTCCTTGGATGGGCTCTGTCAAGAGCACTATTAAGACTGATGTTCATTTCTGTAAGGCTCTTCTTAATGCCATCACTCCATATTTTCCGAGGTCTTCCACTCGCTCTATACCCGTTGTAACTTAAATTCCTCTGTTTGTCTTAAAGTGTTGTTTTTTAATTGTATTTCTAAATTGTCTTTCTGTCTTTGATATTGTTTACTGTTGCTTGTTAACAAGCTTTAAAGGTCAATGTCTAAGAAGACTACTTGACATTAAGTGGCAAGACAAGATCACAAATACTGAGGTACTGTGCCCACTTTTTCTCAGGATGTGTGCAATACAGCGCCATTGACTTGAACTTATAACTGTTGATACCATTAGTTGTCCAGACATTTCTCTTATTTCTCCACCTTTCTTGTATTTATTCCATCTAATGCTCATTAACTTCCCCAGGCAACTACTTTAAAAAGCATTACAATGCTCCTTCCATGATCTTTAGTTGTTCTCCAACTGTCCTCTTCTTAATATTCACTGGCTGTAAACTCGGGCAGAAAGTTGGGGTTATTTCATCCACTTCTGCACTTTGATCTTGGTCCAGAACTTCAGTTTTGGTGCAATCTGTTTCTCAGATCTGGCTTAATTATATGCAGACTGTTCCTCTCCTCTCAGGCAGAAGCACTCCAGCTATGAAGATCTCAAACTGGGAGAGCATGACATTTCCTATCCCTGCAGCAGATCCATCATCTAATATTGCATTTCCTGTAATGATGATGGAGGTAATGGCAGAAACGCAAGCGTTCGAGTGGCTCAAAGCACAAAAACTACACCCCCGCATGTGTACTTACTGATTCAATGAGTATGATTTGGACAGTTCAGTGCGAAGGCATAGGCTTGAATAATTACAGAAGTCCACTCTGCGTCTAGTCACCTTTATTTTCATGCTGGGATAAGCGGGCGTCGATGGAAATGAAAGAGCTGATTGGCTGGATGGATCCGTAATCACTACCAACAGTCAACTGATGAATCATGCTGATATTATTAATGCCCTCTGAGAAATGGGAAGAGTGGAAGACTTTGGAGCAGTGAATCCACATCACTCGCCAGAATGATAGGACTTGGAAATTAAGATCGGCATAGCCAAAAAAAAATGAGGCGCACACCAGAGGACTTGTTAATCAACACAGAACTAGCATAGCCACTGGACGCTGGGGTTCAAACTGATGGGAGGATCTGAGCACCTAAAGACATGTCTGGAGTGCAATAATGATAACCCAACTAACTAACTAATCAAAATTTCCTGTAACTGCTTAACTGCTCACCATATACAAGACTAACCTGTATTTGTTTAAGTAAGGTCTGGGCTTTGCTGTCTGTTGGGACAGCCATCGGAATATCTAGGGTAATGTGGGAGTTCAGCTGCACCCACTTACAGCCACCAGACTGGAATTTCCATTCAGCTGGTCTCAGTACACTCTGTCAAACAGACATTTCATAGGGATTAGGACATTCAAATATTCAAGAAAACACAACACATACACTGCCATACATGTATAGCATCCATCTTGAAGCGGTAAACGTAATGTTAATTCCCCATGCCCCGCCTATATACACACTAGGTCACTTCTGACTGGTAGTTTCTGAACCTGTCACCTTGGCACAAGATTACGGGGGTGTTCCGCAATGCCGTTGATATCGCGTGCTGTATATTTCAGCATGCCAGTGCTTTTAACGCTCCAAAAACATGGAGCACTGGCCCTAACACAACCCCACCCCCATGAAAGTGCTGCAACCTATAGAGCGAGACACACCTGAAACCTTTAGGAAAGTTGACCATCCCAACAAACTTGTGAATGAAAAGTGACCTACTCTATTTGGTGAGATTTGCATAAAGTTCACCCTTGAAGCTATTACTTCTTCCCACTGACACCTGCACAGTGTGAACAGAATGCTGCAGCGAGGAATGACCACGGGGATCTAGCCAAAGCTCAACACTCAGGGGAGGGGGCAAGACGGACATACAATCGCTGCTGGTACCATCTGAACTGGAACTCCCTGCTTGCTGCTGAAGATGGGGACAGAGCGCTTATGGGAATGCCCAGAATGCTATGATATTGATTTTTAACACTTAATACCCACATAAATAAAAGATGCAGTATGCATCTGAAGTGGCAGCTACGCTCACAACAACTCCAAAGGGCCAGGATTCACATCCACATCAAGGACTTCTTTTTTTTTTTTTTTAATATTTGTCTTGGTTCTCAGGTCAACCTCAACCTAGCCTAAAAAAAGTAAGGTCCTTAGAAGTAAAGGTGCGACTGGTCTTTACAAATATAGGTCAAGCCCTATATGCCCAAAGTGCCAATGGTGTGAAATGGGTCTTTGATGCTTTTTAATTTCACTGATACAGTCATCTTGGTGTTCCATGGCTGTAAACCCCAGTGGAAAGATCTGGTTGTTCATCCACTTCTGGACTTTGGTCCTGTTCCAGAACTTGAGTTTTGCGTGCACATCTATTTTACAGATCTGGCTTATTGGTGTGCAGACTGTTTATCCCTCACCTCGCAGGTAGAAGCACTCAGACTTCGAAGGAAACACCTTTATGTAGTTGGCATTTATGACATGCTTGTTAGGGAGCAGTGGGTCCCCCCCCTCTCCCCCACACACACACACAAAATTGGGTCCCTGGAACCCACACTGGGAGTTCTGCTGAAATGAAGCAACTCAGCAGCTAGAGTTCGATTAAAGGGAAACATTCTAGGAGGTAAAGGTGGTAAGCACTATTCTGACCACATTGCCTATCAATTTATAATTGGTCTAGTAATATGTATCCAATATGCCTGAAAGAAAAGAAATATACTTCAAATACGTATACATACCTTTATGTCGGCCACATCCAGAGTCACACAACTCAACCTACAAAAAGACAGGAGACAGACTAATTAGATGAAGTCTTAACCTCTGTATTTCTAAACTAGCCAAACATAAATAGAACAATTAATATTATATTCCTGTTTATATTTAGAAAGAGGAGAGATTAAGCTCACTGCAAACCTATGTAGATGTCACATAACAGATTAGAGTTCTTATTCGTACATTTCACCCACCCGGGATAATTCTCTTCTTCTTCTACTTAACATTCACCAGATGTAAATTCCTGTAAAAAGTTCTAGTTGTTCGTATACTTCTGGATGTTGGTTTTGTTCCCGAACTTGAGTTTGACGTGCACATCCGAATTACAGATAGGGTTTATCTATAAGCAAAGTATTTTAGCTCCTCAACTCTCTGTTAGATGCACTTCGACTTCAAAGTTAACAACCTTAAATAATAATCGTTTACAATATGCTTGTTGGGAGGGGGGGGGGGGGGGGGGGGGGGTGGGGGGGGGGGTGGGGGGGGGGGGGGGGGGGGAGTGAGACTATTCCTCCCCCCCCTACCCTAAATAGGACTCTGGTACCCACACAGGCAGCACAAGACAATGAAAACTGTCTTACTTTTTTGTGGATGTGTCCATCTGAAGAAGTATTCTGTCTGTGATTTCATTTGAAGGTGTCAGGATGTTATTTCTGCTCAGCTGTTTATGGACTGCAAACAGCATCTGATAGACAAACAAGAGAAAGAAAAAAGGGGGGAGGGGGGAATAATTTAATGAAAGATGACATAAAATACAAGAAAAAAAAACGTGTGTGTGTATAACCATCCCCACAATGAAGATTGGTTGCAATGGATCTCTAGCATGCTCTGTCTTTTGTCCTGGATGTACACTCATCAAGTCATCTGCTGTTCATCTGTTTGCTGTTGTTATCTCCCACTTATATCACTGTCTGCCTCTTGCTTGCTAACAAGCTCTGTCTTTTGTCCTAGATGTACACTCTCTTCTGAGTCTGCTGTTCATCCATTTTCTGATGTTACCTTCACACTTATATCACTGCCTGCCTCTTGCTTGCCTTCCACTCTTCTCTCCACTATGGTTTTTATAACAGTGTTTTATCTTTTAATATGGCCAAAATAATTCACTTCTTTCTTTTACCAACTCCCTTTCCATACGTGTATAAAACAGACATTATATAATGCATTATACATGTAAAACAAATACAAAACATAAAAACAGACATAACAAGGAAGAGAAAAATGAGTGTGACTTTGTAAAAATAACAAAGAAAATATCCTGCTAGATAAACATCAAACATTTTTTTTTTTAATTAAAAAGGAGACGCAAGAAGGACAAGAAAAGAAATAGGGCCTTCTAGCTCCAGTTGTGTATAGAGCACATGATGTTATACTCATATTTCTTAGACCAATCGGCACTCAACATTAGGTCAGCCAGCTTTACTTCCCAGGACTTTTCCTGGCATCCATTATAAGCTGGGCTGACCTGGGAGTTAGGGTAATTCAAAAACTTAAAATAATAATTAAAAAAAAAAAAAAATATATATATAACAGAGTTAAATAAATTCCCCCCCCCCCCCCCCCAAAAAAAAAAAAAAATAAGGTATAGAGAAATTAAAGAGATATACATAAAATACAAAAAAGGATTTTTTGTTTGTTTTTAATTTTAAAAAAAGATAATTATATAACAGACCTGTTTCAACTTGCCTTGAGCATTTTTCAACATAGCAGACGGAGCAATGGCAAAAAGCCCTACAACACTAAGTCCCCCTGGCAGCATTCGTGAAACCTGCAAATGACATCACAAAAACAAGTTACAACTTAAAATATAAGTTAAAGGTTAAAGTCGAGAGGATCAACTTCACTGTATTAGGTGGATCCCATATGGTTCAGCCTCCCTTAGAAAAAAACTGCACTCGAAAGCTAAACGAGGCAGCCGTGAAACGAACCTACAACCTTTAGAGTGCAAGGCAAATGGCTAAACCACCCTACCATGGAGACCCCCTAAGTTATCACCTAATTAGTGATAAGAGAGAGCCACAGGGGCACAGAAAACAATTTGTGCCTGCTGACTTGAAAATGTTGGTACCTTCTACTGCGTTCACCTGAAGATGTAACTCCATTGTGCCCTTTTACAGCATGGCTGGAATATCTGCGCCTCTTGGCCGACTTCTGCAGGCATTTTTTGACCAGGTTAACCTTCCCTGACACTTTTGGTATGAATTTGTGGTGGCACATTTTTATAATTGACCCAACCCTTACAATGAAATCCATGAATCAGGTTTTGCGTTCTCAAAAAAGAACATAGTACTCTTGTGGAGCCAGCCTCAAATTGGTACCAAGTTAAGTCCTGGGAAGTAAAGGTGACTGGCAAAAGACTGACCACATCAGCCAAAGAGTGCCGACTGGTCTACAAAAATATGGGTTTAGCAACATATGCCCGATATGCCACTGGAGTGAAAATGGTCCTCTGCTTTACTTACAGGTCAACATCGGTGTCTGCGGCTTAGGCATTGTGAACTCGCTTCATAATGTCGGGGTGTCAGGTTCGATGCCAGCTGCAGGCAGTTTGGCAGCGGACAATCTTGCACTGGTTTCGACAGTGGTATTGAGAGCCAATCTTTCAGTAAGTAATGGCAAAGTATAGATCGTAACTTTGTCTAGAAAAATCTGCGACAGCCCAAAAAATGCTGGGGTTGGTTCTAACAGGCAACTAACTTGACAGGTCGCCCCAGCCTAAAATGAGCATCATGAAGTGCTAGAAAGCAAAGGCTGCTGTTGTAATGTTGACCATACCACCCATCATGTCTGTGGTTTGCTATCATCAGCTGTACAAACTCCAGCAGAAAGTGCTAGTTGTTCATCCATTTCTGGACCAGAGTTTCGCATGAACATGCTTTTTGTTTTTTAACAGATCTAGCTTATTCGTGTGCAGATTGTTGGCTCCTTGCCTCTCAGGCAGATGCAATCCGACTTTGAAGGAAACACACCAAATTAGTTGCCTCCTAAGACGTGCTTGTTGGGGAGAAAAGGGGGTGGGGGTGGGGTTAGGTCTATTCTTTTTCCGACACAGTGAGACCCCAGAACCCACAAGGGAAAGACATCAAGTGATGAATGTATATAAATATGGATCTAGTATTATATGCTGTATGTGTCATGCTGGCTGAGTCGCGCAGCATGATAATAGGTAACACCTGGTTTAAACACCATCCTCGAAGATTGTGGACTTGGAAAAGTCCTGGTGATAATGTCCGCAATCAGATTGATTATATTTTGATTTCAAGAAGATTTCAGAGCAGCTTAGTTGGAGCTAAAACTAGACCAGGGGCAGACTGCTTTAGTGACCATGTTCCAGTTGTAGGAAAAATTAGAATAAAACTAAAGAACATTAGAAAAACACCACAGAACATCAAGTTAAATTTAGGAATTCTTAGAACGGATAAAGAAATTAAGGAACAGTACAACGTCACTGTACAAAACCGGTATAATGCAATGGAAATTATACAAACAATTGATGAACAGTGGGATATGTTGCGTGAGTCAATTCAGCAGACATCAAAAGAGACAATCCCACCAACCCATACAGTTGCAAAAAAGAAATGGATTTCAACCGAAATTCTGCAGTTGATGGATGAAAGAAGGAAGAAAAAGAATGATAAAGAAGAATACTCTAGAATACAAAAAGAAATAGTGAACAAATGCAAAGTGGCTAAAGAAGCCTGGCTGAATCAAATGTGTACAGAGATTGGGGAAAATCACGGGAAAGACTCACATTCCATGTACCAACAGATAAATATGTTAACAGGAAAGATGACACGTAACAGCACTGGATGTTTGATATCAAAGGATGGTGACTTATTAATGGGACATAGTAATATAATTAACAGATGGACAGAGTATATAGGGGAATTGTATGATGATAATAGACCAGACGTAGAACTGCAGAACAACACTGATGGTCCACCAATAATGACTGCAGAAGTTGAGGATGCAATACATCATATGAAGAAAGGAAAAGCACCCGGGCCAGACAACATCTCACTGGAAGAAATCGAAGCACTGGGAAATTTTGGAATCGAAATAATAACTAAACTTTTAAATGATATTTATAACAGTGGGTATATTCCAAATGACCTTTTAAAATCCATATTTATAGCTCTGCCGAAGAAACCAGGCACTTTAAAATGTGAAGACCATCGCACAATAAGTCTTATGAGTCACATGACTAAGATTTTACTGAGAATAATTATGAGAAGAATAAGAAACAAAATTAAACCAGAAATCAGCGATGAACAATGTGGATTTGTAGAAGGAAAAGGTACAAACAATGCCATATACATCCTAAGGACATTGTCAGAAAGAGCTATAGAAGTAAAGACTGATTTGTACTTATGCTTCATAGACTATACAAAAGCATTTGACTGTGTGAAGCATGAAGAAGTAATCAAACTGTTAGAAAAATTAAACATTGATGGGAAAGATCTAAGAATAATAAAGAATATGTATTGGCAGCAAACAGCAGCTATAAGAATTAACAACTGTTTAGGTACATTTCAAAGCATAAAGAGGGGCGTACGACAAGGATGTGTACTTTCACCTGATTTGTTTTCAATATACAGTGAATATATTTTGAGATCTTTAATTGATATGCCCGGAATCGTGGTTGGTGGGCACAATATAAACAATTTACGTTATGCTGATGATACAGTCTTGATAGCAACAAGTCAGAAAGAATTACAGGAAATGATAGACATTGTGGTGTTAGAAAGTGGAAGAATGGGCCTCAGTTTGAATAATGGGAAGACAGAAGTAATGGTGGTATCAAAGAAACAAATTATTCCTAAATGTGTAATAAAAGTCAATGGTGTTATTTTAAGACAAGTACAGAAATTTAAGTATTTGGGCACATGGATAACATCAGATGGAAGATGCATAACTGAAATAAGAAACAGAATTGGACAGGCAAAAACTGCATTTTATAAAATGAAAAAACATCTTGTGCAATATATCCTTGTCATTGAGAGTTAGAAAAAGAATTCTTGCTTGCTACATACATCCAGTTTTAACATATGGATGTGAATCCTGGACAATCGGTAGGCAGGCCAAACAATTTTTGGAGGCCTCAGAGATGTGGTTTTACAGAAGAATGCTTAGAATACCTTGGACAGCCAAAAAGAGCAACCAAGAGGTTTTAAAAGAGGCGGGAGACCGAAGACAACTTATCACTGACATCAGAAGGAGACAGTCATCATTTTTCGGCCATGTTATGAGAAGAGGGAAAATAGAACATGTTGTGACCACTGGAAAGATCTGTGGAAGGAGGGATAGAGGAAGACAACGAGAGAAGATGCTTGACAGTCTTGTTGCATGGCATGGAGGTGTGTCGGCACACGAACTGATACATGCTGCAGGAGATCGCGGATTATGGAGAGGCATGATCGCCCACGCCACTCGGCAAGGCACCTGATGATGATGATGTGTCAATGGTGTTAAAGAGGTCTCTTACATTTATTAGTTAGTCAACAGATCATTCTTCCTGCACACTGAACTATTCAACCTTCCCGTGTGTATTTCAGACCCCTTTGGGTGGGGGGGGGGGGGGGGGGCACTGCTACCCTACAGAATAAATCCACTGAACCCCTAACAAGCATGTCATAAGGGGCATCTAATTAAAGGTATGAGCACCAAGAAACAGCTTATAAACAGCATACCAACACTGTGCTACCAGTGCCAGATCTGGACTTAATCAAAGGCTAATCTATGAAAACAGTCTTGCAACAAATCTTTGGACCCATCAAAGATGCAAACAGTGGGGAATGGAGAGTGAGAAACAAACAAAAAATTCATAATCTGTTATCCTCCCCATGCCAGTTCCGGGGTCCCATTATAGGTGGGGGGGGGGGGGGGGGGGGGGGAAATGCTTATTTAACAACCATGGTTGTATAAGGCAATTAATTAAGGATTTGATTAAATAGATATGCTAGGCTGAAAGGTGCATATATCACAGCCTAGTTGTAATCCACAATACAATGTGACAATAACTCTTCTAAGAGCAAATGCAGAATAAGAAAAAGAATGATTCCTGAAAGATTAGTGAATCCCTCAAAGAAGTGCACACATCAATGTATACATGCAATCACCTGCTTGGCGTGAGTGGAAACCCACTTGCCATCCAGCTGTTCCAGTGATGACGGGTGTTCCAATGAAGGTTTCTTTTTGGCATTCTGAATATTATCGCCGGTATCATTCTCCCCATTCTCTTCACTGACTTCGTTTTCTACAGGATCTGGTGTCCTGGCAACGTGGACCACATAATCTCTTTGAAGACTCAACTGTCAATGGAAACAAATGCAATAATTAATTAGGAAGAACACATTGTATTCTGGAGCCATCAGGGTAAAGCAGCTAGTGACTCACCTGCATGCCTGAAAGGTTATGGGTTCAAATCTGCAATAAGGCCAGATTGTTACTTAAAAATAACCTTGGCTCCCAGGTCGTCCCAGCCTAAAATGGGTACCAGCTAAAAGTCCTGGGAAGTGAAGGCGGCAGCATGATGTTGACCACATCACATAATGAGTGCTGATTGGTCTAAAAAAAATGATGATTGACACCTTCTCGTCCTTCCAGCTGACAGTGTTATACTGCGCTATGAGGAGCATGGGACTCACAGCCCATGACGATGGCAAGTGTGACTAGCAAGACCTGTATCTAAAAATATAGGTCTAGCACTATATACCTAATGGCGTGAAGAGGGTCCTTTACATTTTACTCTAAAAGGGTTCATAATGTAATTTGTTCCTTACCCACACAGGACTGCAGGTTATATGAGTGCCCTAATTGTAACTTCCCTGAAGGCTGAACTAGATATCTGCATTGCCCTGTTGCCATCCAGTCTGAGATTTTTTTAAATTTCAGGGTGGTCACCCCACTGTCGGAGGGAAACAGATGACGCTGCATGATTTGTTCTTCTCCTTGAATCCCAGCCATTGTTTAATATGTTCTCTTGACTGCTACCTTTGGTCAAAATTTACTAAAGAAATCTGCCTACTTCCAAGGTGTGTACAGCCAGGGTGTATAGTAGGGAACTAAATTTTTCATAGTGATAATCTACCCCCCCACCCCCCTATATAGGTATTTTATGTCTCTTCTCCATGCTCAGCAGCTGTAAACTCTGGCGAAAAGTTATGGTTGTTTGTCCACTACAAATCTGGTTTATGTGTATGCAGACTCTTAGTTCCTTACCTCCCAGGAAGATGCACTTTGACTTCGAAGGTAACCCCTAATTAGTTGGCTTTTATGACATGCTTTTAGGGGGGCAGTGAGTTTATTTTTGCTTTACCCCTTAATGGGATCCTGCAGCCTACATAAGGAAGTATTTTCTGTGCAATCTAAGACTAAAGAAGTTCAGCTATACAAAGCAATAACATGCTCAATTGTTTGGTACAGAGTTTCTTGTGGTCACTAAATGAATTTGAAAACTGACACTGCTGGAGATCCATTCTTCTTATTCTTTTTCTCTTCCACCTTGTACCTCATCAAAGTATTGAGGGGAGATGTAACATTCGTTGATGATTTCTGTCAAGAGCACTATTAAGATTGGTGTTCATTTCTGTAAGGCTGTTCTTAATGCCATCACTTCAACTTTTCAGTCTTCCATTCACTCTATACCCGTTGTAACGTTTTTAGCGTGGCTCGCTGTGGCGGATAGTACCAGGGCATTCTTGTTAGGTGTCCAAGCCACTTCATTTGTTTCTATTTGATGACCTTTAAGTCTGGCTTTATTCCTAGCATTCGTCTGATTTCGTATTCTGTCTTTCCTTGAAAATCCTGCAGCTCTTTGAAGATCCATTACTTTTTTAAAGTATGGTTCTCTCATCAATGGTTACTGTTGGTTGTGTTATGACCTAATCTTTATTTTGTTTTAACCATTAACATTTGATCTTCAAAAGACAATGTCAATGCAAAGAATTTATTATCAGTTGTAGTTTTTGGGTGACATATCTGACATGATCCCACTGAGGATATCTAACATTATCATCATCATCATGTGCCACCTCACATGATCACCATAATCATAGATCATGTCAGAGTTCTTGTCTCCTGTTGCCATCCAGTCTGAGATTTTTTAAATTTCAGGGTGGTCACCCCACTGTCGGAGGGAAACAGATGACGCTGCATGATTTGTTCTTCTCCTTGAATCCCAGCCATTGTTTAATATGTTCTCTTGACTGCTACCTTTGGTCAAAATTTACTAAAGAAATCTGCCTACTTCCAAGGTGTGTACAGCCAGGGTGTATAGTAGGGAACTAAATTTTTCATAGTGATAATCTACCCCCCCACCCCCCTATATAGGTATTTTATGTCTCTTCTCCATGCTCAGCAGCTGTAAACTCTGGCGAAAAGTTATGGTTGTTTGTCCACTACAAATCTGGTTTATGTGTATGCAGACTCTTAGTTCCTTACCTCCCAGGAAGATGCACTTTGACTTCGAAGGTAACCCCTAATTAGTTGGCTTTTATGACATGCTTTTAGGGGGGCAGTGAGTTTATTTTTGCTTTACCCCTTAATGGGATCCTGCAGCCTACATAAGGAAGTATTTTCTGTGCAATCTAAGACTAAAGAAGTTCAGCTATACAAGCAATAACATGCTCAATTGTTTGGTACAGAGTTTCTTGTGGTCACTAAATGAATTTGAAAACTGACACTGCTGGAGATCCATTCTTCTTATTCTTTTTCTCTTCCACCTTGTACCTCATCAAAGTATTGAGGGGAGATGTAACATTCGTTGATGATTTCTGTCAAGAGCACTATTAAGATTGGTGTTCATTTCTGTAAGGCTGTTCTTAATGCCATCACTTCAACTTTTCAGTCTTCCATTCACTCTATACCCGTTGTAACGTTTTAGCGTGGCTCGCTGTGGCGGATAGTACCAGGGCATTCTTGTTAGGTGTCCAAGCCACTTCATTTGTTTCTATTTGATGACCTTTAAGTCTGGCTTTATTCCTAGCATTCGTCTGATTTCGTATTCTGTCTTTCCTTGAAAATCCTGCAGCTCTTTGAAGATCCATTACTTTTTTAAAGTATGGTTCTCTCATCAATGGTTACTGTTGGTTGTGTTATGACCTAATCTTTATTTTGTTTTAACCATTAACATTTGATCTTCAAAAGACAATGTCAATGCAAAGAATTTATTATCAGTTGTAGTTTTTGGGTGACATATCTGACATGATCCCACTGAGGATATCTAACATTATCATCATCATCATGTGCCACCTCACATGATCACCATAATCATAGATCATGTCAGAGTTCTTGTCTCCTGTTGCCATCCAGTCTGAGATTTTTTAAATTTCAGGGTGGTCACCCCACTGTCGGAGGGAAACAGATGACGCTGCATGATTTGTTCTTCTCCTTGAATCCCAGCCATTGTTTAATATGTTCTCTTGACTGCTACCTTTGGTCAAAATTTACTAAAGAAATCTGCCTACTTCCAAGGTGTGTACAGCCAGGGTGTATAGTAGGGAACTAAATTTTTCATAGTGATAATCTACCCCCCCACCCCCTATATAGGTATTTTATGTCTCTTCTCCATGCCTCAGCAGCTGTAAACTCTGGCGAAAAGTTATGGTTGTTTGTCCACTACAAATCTGGTTTATGTGTATGCAGACTCTTAGTTCCTTACCTCCAGGAAGATGCACTTTGACTTCGAAGGTAACCCCTAATTAGTTGGCTTTTATGACATGCTTTTAGGGGGGCAGTGAGTTTATTTTTGCTTTACCCTTAATGGGATCCTGCAGCCTACATAAGGAAGTATTTTCTGTGCAATCTAAGACTAGAAGAAGTTCAGCTATACAAGCAATAACATGCTCAATTGTTTGGTACAGAGTTTCTTGTGGTCACTAAATGAATTTGAAAACTGACACTGCTGGAGATCCATTCTTCTTATTCTTTTTCTCTTCCACCTTGTACCTCATCAAAGTATTGAGGGGAGATGTAACATTCGTTGATGATTTCTGTCAAGAGCACTATTAAGATTGGTGTTCATTTCTGTAAGGCTGTTCTTAATGCCATCACTTCAACTTTTCAGTCTTCCATTCACTCTATACCCGTTGTAACGTTTTAGCGTGGCTCGCTGTGGCGGATAGTACCAGGGCATTCTTGTTAGGTGTCCAAGCCACTTCATTTGTTTCTATTTGATGACCTTTAAGTCTGGCTTTATTCCTAGCATTCGTCTGATTTCGTATTCTGTCTTTCCTTGAAAATCCTGCAGCTCTTTGAAGATCCATTACTTTTTTAAAGTATGGTTCTCTCATCAATGGTTACTGTTGGTTGTGTTATGACCTAATCTTTATTTTGTTTTAACCATTAACATTTTATCTTCAAAAGACAATGTCAATGCAAAGAATTTATTATCAGTTGTAGTTTTTGGGTGACATATCTGACATGATCCCACTGAGGATATCTAACATTATCATCATCATCATGTGCCACCTCACATGATCACCATAATCATAGATCATGTCAGAGTTCTTGTCTCCTGTGGGGTAGGGGGGAGGCAAACCATCTTTATGACCAAGCCATTCTGGTATTCTTCTTCTTCTTCGCCTTCACCAGCTGTACACTCTGGCGGAAAGTTCTGGTTGCTCGTCCACTAGTGAACTGCAGTCCTGCTCCAGAACCTGAGTGTTGCGTGTGCATCAGTTTTACAGATCTCATTCTCTTGAATACAGACCGTTGGTTCCTTGCCTCTCCGGCAGATGCACTCCGACTTCAAAGGAAGCTCCCCAATTAGTCGACTCTTACGACATGCTTTTGGGAAGGCAGTGAGTCTATTCTTGTTTTCCCCATAATGGGACCCCAGAACCCAATGGGGAAATCTTGTATTTATCTCTGCCTTCTCCTTGCTTGTTTTCCCCATTAATCTTGTCAGTTATAACCAACATCTCAAGTCTATTTATTCTCCTACAATGTCCACAAAATACACAAATATCTAACAAATTGTAATTACCACTCTCTCAATGAACTGCACACACCAAAACAAAACAAACATTAATGTGACCCTCAATAAGTGTGGTCCAGTACAGGTTGAAGAAGAGAAACAAAAGAAAGTTAAAACAAGCATTCTTCACCCTTTGAATCTTTTCTCCAGGGTAGGGTAGCATGCTGGGAAATGAACAGACACACAGACAAGCTAATTCTGCACCAAAATCGAGAGAATGATATACTTTGGGTATATTCTTATTGATATGTTACAAGTTATATTTATAGTTCTTTTATTAAAGAAACCGTATGCATGAGAATATGATGATCACTCCTTAAAAAAAAAAAAGAAACTTCTGGGTCACGATAACGATGTTAAGAATATAATTATATGAGGTGTTAAAAACAAAATGAACTTTTTCAGTCTCAACCAGTGCATCATGTGTGATCAGATACTGTCCATGTATCTCAAACAGCTCATGATGTGATCCAATTTTTATGATAAACATTTGACCCATTATTTTAAAATTTAAGACAGTATGTTTTATGTTATATGCTGCCCCCAAGAAAGTTATGCATGTACTCTTTATTCTATGTGGCTAAGTACTCGTTAGGCATCTCCTATGAGATCTTATGGGACTGAAAGAGATAAAGCAGAAATTAGTGACGAAAATTGTGTTTTTGTTTTTAGAATGAAAACCCAAGTGTATAAGAGTTCGAGTGTATGGACTGTATAATTCTCAGAACACTTCTGGAATGATTTATAGACATTTAAAATAGGTAGCTGTATTCCTCTTCTTATATCTTCTTCTTCTACCTCCTAAGCGTGCTCCATTCAGAAGTTCACTGCTGCAGATATCGCCTATCACTAATTTCAATTATAAGGTCCTAATCATGGAATTCACCCCATCTGATTTGGGCACAAGATTTCATGGCCATTCCACCGGTTGTCCTATGTTCTAGGGGTGTTTTGACAGAAATGCCTTCCTTCCCAATCTAAATACAACATAGTGAAAACTGGCTACTATGCGTTTGACAAACTGTCTCGAGACGAAATGCAGAACTTCCTTGTCGCAAATGTCTTTTCTGTGAATGACTGTCATTTTTCGAATGTGTTGTTTTGTGAGTATTGAATCATAATGACTGATTTTGTATTTCTACTCTCGTTGGCGGTGGATGTGACTACAACTTTCGGCTCTCCTTTAAATAACGGTCGCTAGCTGGAAGGCGACGGCCGCTTAGTCGGAGTTCACTCCCTTGGCTGCAGTGCAAATACGGAGTGGACAAGTCACGAATCAAAAAAAACAAAGTGGGGTCAACATGCCTGCTAGAGCTAGACCACGTGCTGCGACTGACAGTAGCGACCGCGGTCTTGCGACGCAAGACTCTCGTAGACCACGTGCTGCAACTCACATTAGCGACCGAGTTCTTCCGACGCACGACTTAGTGACCGTAGATGTGAGACCTGCGGATCTGTATGTCGTAATGAGCGATTAGCTTCCGTCGTGTCCGTGATGTGTCACCCTAACCCTACCCCAAACCCTAACCCTACCCCTACCAAAAAAAAAAAAACCTACCACAAACCCTACCACAAATCCTAACCCAAGCCCTAAGCCTAACCCTAGGATGACGGGTAACTATATCATTTGTTTCGTTCCCTCTTTACCACTCCGTATTTGCACTGCAGCCAAGGGAGTGAACGACTAAGCGACCGTCGCCTTCCAGCTAGCGACCGTTATTTTTAAAGGAGAGCTTAACTTTCATCAAAACAAGCCACACACGACGCCCGTGGAAACGGCTAGGAAATCTTGTGCCCGAGCGAGATAGGGTGAATTCTGTGATTAGTAATTAGTACCAATACCAATTATTATTAATCAATAAATCTCTGTGATGACTGAGAACATGAAGTGAAGCGAAGCATCCGACCACAGGACTGACAGACGGCCAAGCACTTGATTATACTTGATAGAGTCGATACTAGCAAAGTAGGCTGGTGTTAACATTTACCTGACCAATAATCACTCCTACAAACCACTTGTTTGTTTTCACAAGTTTATTGATATAAGCTTCCACAGCCTCATCAGCTATGATAGATCGGCCCATGGTTGTTGACAAGATACACGATTCAGTCACTGGAGCCAACACAAAAGCTTCGACCGGATGTGCTGTAACTAATAGTTAGAGTTATCTATCCTGGTGAATAAACGTAATAATGTAATATTACTATTAACAGAGGGAGTCGCCGTGGCAGAGCGGCTAGACGTGCGCCGCGGATCGGAAGGTCGTGGGTTCGCTCCCTGGCGGAGACGGACTTTTCTTCAAATGACTTTGGCTCCCAGGTCGACCCAGCCTTGGGTGGTTACCGGGTGCAATCCCGGGAAGTATAGGCGGCCGGCGTGATGCTGACCACATCTTGGGCCGTTGGTCTAGCCCTATATGCCCTATACGCCTAAAGGCGTGGAAAGGGTCCTTTACTTTACTTACTACTATTAACAGAACATATCACGAGCACCTTTTCCAGCTCCTCTTCTTCTTCTTCTTCTAAATAAGCAATGTGACGATGGCAATCATATCTGCCTACAGACTTCTTTCTCATGTACTTTTTTTAAAAATTCATGTCTGATTGATAACAGCTGATGCATGACAATTGCCACCTAGTTTATATGATTATCTATTATATACCGATGGCTCTGTTTTGAAAGACCGAAAGAAGATCATGGGTGTTCATAGCAAAAGCAAATCTAAATTGCTTAGCGAAGCAAAGCTTCGTATATGATATGAATGTATGGAGTTCTAAATAGTGAGTTAAAACCAAATATGATAGCACTCAAGACATTCCCGTAAGCGCTCCTTTCCCATCATCAGCAGCAAGCGCAGAGTTCCAACTCCGATGGTACCAGTGACAGTCTAATTGTATGTCGGTCTCGCCTTTCCACTGAGTTTTTACCGTCGACCAGATTCTCTGGTCACTCCTCGCTACGCCATTTTTGTCAGGCCGTTATCATCTATTTATGCCTCCATACTGTTTTCTCGCTCAAATAGTGTCCTTACAACAATTAACTTGGCATGCATCAGTTCACCACCAAAAGATAAAGAATAAGCCATCTATCTGCATGTTAAATTCCTGCATGACCTGGATAAAATATCAAAAGGACGCTAAATACCCGGCACCCCTGAAGCGACACTGGCCACTCTGCACGACGCATCCTACCGGTCCCTGCCTTTCTTAGCATGCTCAGTGAATCAGTTACGCTCACGACATGTGTATGCAGCTAGTTCCCAAGTTCTTATGATGTTGTCATATCATATGTCAGATTTTGATGCACTAAGCGATGTCTTCACTTTTGCCAAGAACCCCCACGCGCTTCGCCTGCCTCTCAGCACTGAGTATTCTGAATAGATAATCATATCACATGTATGATTCACATAAGTGAACATTTGTCGAACTTCTGATTTTGCAGCGCCCCCAGGACAATTCCTACACTCACGGCTGAATGTGGCTAGAAACCTACACCAGTCTGATTGTTGCTCGGGCAATTTGAGCCACTCCACTCTTCGATCAGTATTCCCAAGCCTATGCACCCGTCTAATTGCGTCTTCAGTTCGCACAATCCAAGACCTTCCTTTTTTCAATCGTGGACCCTCAGCTCCATCTAGGGTTTATTGCCATCGAGAAAAAAAAAAATTATTAACAAAAATAAGGACATTAAATATCGGGACCTTTGAAGCGATACTTGTCATTCTCAAAAGCAGATAACCATGAGTTCTAAAGTGAATCTTATCATAACTATTCTTTCGCCAACACAATGCTGTCAGTGTCAAATGTGGACACTTACTCTAATGAACGTAAAATTGTGGCAACAGACATGAAATGCCTTGGAAGAGCTGCAGGAGTTTCAAGGAAAGACAGAATACGAAATGAGACGAATGCTAGGAATAAAGCCAGTCTTACAGGTCATCATAGAACAACAAATGAAGTGGTTTGGACACCTGACAAAAATTCCCTGGTATTATCTGCCGCAGCGAGCCACATTGAAACGTTACAACGGGCATAGAGCGAGCGGAAGACCTCGAAAATGATGGAGTGATGGCATTAACAACAGCCTTATAGAAAAGAACATTAATCTTAATAGTGCTCTTGACAGAGCTCATCAACGAATGTTACATCTTCCCCTGACACTTCGCTGAGGTACAAGCTGGAAGAAGAAGAAAAGAAGAAGAAGAACTTGTCAGGCTGCCCAAAATATCTATGTCTCTGTATTTCTCATCATGCGTTGTAAGTTACAGCGAAGCTGGTTCTCAAGCCAGCAGAAGGTTGCAGTGACTGCCTACACCTCCATTCTCAAACTAGATGTTGAGGTATCACATGCTAGATTTTGTTTCCCAATAAATAAATAAAAAAGTTTTGTCTGAAGACAATATTGCAGCGGTTGGGTGTAGTCCAGTATTGGGAACTCTGTCCTGGATGCTAAAGAAGGGGATGGAGCGCTTATGTGAATGTCCCGAGCACTGCGATGTCAACTATTAAGGTAACTCAACTCATTTCTAATAATAATGCTTCCCCTAACAAATTACCAAATATCTTCTTCCTGGACTTTCCTCTGCTTCAACTTCCATGCAAGCACTTCATACTTGAGTTTTTCCTTTCTCACAACGTGACCGACGATTTCACCCTTATGGGGATAATCAGTTCCATGTGTGAGTTAATTTCTGCTTCGAACACCATGACCGTCACCATCAGCACTACTATTACCACCATGACCAGCACCAGCAGCACCAGCAGCCCTAACAACACCAGCACCAGCAGCACCACAGCGTCAGGCAAGTGGCTAAATCACTTCGGCACTGATGATGAATAAACGTAGAATAGCCTATAACACGGAAGTATAGCATTAAGTATTTAGTGCGAAGTACTAAAGCCACTTGGCTTGTGCTCTGAAAGTAGTGTGATCGTTTCACGCACGCGTCGTATAGTTAACGAGTGCAATTGTTACTGAGATCAGCGAGAATCATTGCTGGAGCTACGAATTTCGTACTGTGTACGAAGCTCTCAGCGAGCGGCTATGGGATTACTCAGGACAATGATATTGATCCTCTCGACTTTAGCTTTGACTTTGTTCAGTCAAAATATCTCACAAGAAAAAGATTGTTTGTTTGCAAACATCTCCAACATAGAAATTAAATAATGTTACTGAACTTTGCCCACAGTGATGATATAGACTGGTTTATCTTTAATGTGAAGTCTTAGTGTGTTCTTCTTTTTACTTTTTTCTATGAGTGCCAATCAACACATTGTCTGTTTGTACCTAAAGGTTAAAGATACCATCCTGATATTACAAAATTTCACTCTGCACCGCAAATTAACAAGGTATTTTCTCAAGTACCTTGTTAAACCTTCTAAGAAGTTAGAAGCACAAGTTTTAATTTTCCTATGCCTCGACTTTCCTTCGGGCACTTCAAGAAGATGACAGATAGATAATATCTAATCAGACCTGCCCACACTTGGTCTCACCAACTGAAAAGAAAAGGCCAACCAGAGAGATGAATTGAAGCGAGTGATATCTGCAGCAATGAACCTCAAGGGCCGAAGAAAAAGAAAAAAAAAGTACAAGTGCCCCACCTGTCATCAAGGCACTTGATAGTGGTAATCCGTATCATGGTACGCCGCAGCAAATGAAATTGTAAACAATATGGTGGAAGCTGAACAAATGCTGACAACCGTGTCGACTTGTACAGTTATTGTGTGACAAAAGGTGAAGACTGCGTCACTTTTCGACACAGTTTACTCACAAAAACTTGTGCATTACTTTGCAATAGTTATTGTTTGTTCCTGCAGTGAAAAAACATGACGTGTCAGCTGAGTTAAAAACTTGAAAATGACAACAGCATTTTGAAATTTGTTTGCGACCGACAGTGCTAGGCTTTTTTTTTTTTTTTACGTATCCAGAAACCATGAGTTGTAAACCCTTTGGCTCGGTACTATGGATATCGCAACCCTTCGGCATTGATTCCATTATAGGTACCGTTAATCTGGGAGAAATGTGGCTTTTCTGCCTACCCCCGGGAGTGAACCCGGACCACAAGGAGTTCGTCACCCGGCCGCCGCGAAAGTCAGGTTTAACCAACTTCGCTAGAGAGCCGGGCACAGTGCTAGGCTTAAGAGGGTGGACTACTACAAGTCCGAACATGCTTTTGACTTATTTTTAATACTTTAATTTTAAAGAGGCATAGTCTGTGTAAATTCTATTTAAAATCTTAAAGAAAGTTTTTGTGTTAATGAAATTTTATTAATCTTATATCAGTTTAGAATAAATATCTCAATCTCCTTCTTACAATTACTACCTCGTCGAAGTATTAACTGAAAAAAATTGGAGTTTAAAATTCTCTGTGTGACGTGTGCTCTTTCTAATGCGTCATATCTTCTTTTTTTTTCCTTCTTCTGCCTTTCTAAATCCAAATGGAGCATAGGCCCTCAACCAACTCACGCCCAGTCGTTCTATTTCTATCCTCTGTCACATGCAGCTGTCCCCATGTCCTCCCCATCTTTTTAACTTCACTGTCTAGCTCCCTTCTTTTTGTGTTTTTCTGTTTTCCTTTATTTCTGTGTCTCTGTAGGTTCCAGTACCAAGAAATTCTAGTTATACTGTACGTCAACAAACCAGACTGCTTTTGGCTTTCTCCACACTGTGTCATACTTCTTCTACTAGAAGAGCTTCTTCTCATCTTGGTTGGCTGTTGTTTTTTTATTTGTCTGTTTGACTTTTCCATGGTTGGTAGTTTTTTAGCACTATTGTTTTTATAGGATGAGGTATCAAACCTCAAGCCCAACCCTACCCTTAGTGGCCTCTTATGACAAGCCTGGTAGGGTGTAGTGTCACTATTCTTTGCTTGCAGTGAGGATTTCAGTGACACACGGGCGAATGCGTCATATCAGTTAATCTTAATTTCTTCAAGGCTGCTCTTCATGCTGTCATTCCATAATATGCCTAGTCTTCACCTGTTCTGTATTCATTATTTTTCTTCAGTGTGGTTTTCTGTGGCAGCAGGTACCAGGGCATTCTCATCCAATGGCCAAACCATCTCATCTGTTGCTCTCTAATAAT